TCAAATAACTTAACTAAAGGATCTAAGATATTACCAATATAAAGAGAAAAACATTTATTTCGTACACATATGGAAATATAAAAAAGAACAAGTATTTCAGGCAGTGGAAGTAAAGTTATTCGGTAAAATTTCTTTTTTTTTCTTTTTTCTTGAGTATGTATATGTGTATGTGTAACAGGTAATTTTTCATATATCTTAATTTTCAAAGAACATTATTGTAAATAAAAAGATTAATAAATTCCTAGAAGGAACCAATATTTTGATTACACAGTTTGATAGGCAAATGATTATTGAAACAAAACTTCAAAGATAGTTATAGTTATGTTTCGGTTATCTGGCTTTTCCAATCTCAAAGATAGGCACATTACATTTAATTTGCCAAATAACAATTTAATCCCGAGGAAGAAAATTTTCAGAATACCAAAACAAAATGTATACAATAACAACCAGGATTCTGTTAAAAATAAAGAAACCCCCCCACCTTTGCATAATATTAAACCACAGGCATCCTTAAATTTTTAAACTATATTGATACAAGCAAATTCACTTGTTTAGCTATGTCTGATTAAAATATTTTGGTTATAATTAATATACAGATATAGAAATTTATCAGTATTAGTTCACATTTATAAATCATTTTCCAAAGCAACTAAATTCCTTATAACAAATAGCAAAATTAGGCATATAAATTTCAAATAAGAATCTCAATCTATGAGGTTTTTCTAACTGATATACAGATTTTGAGCATATAATATCCTTATATTGTTCCTGTAAATTGGTATAATTTAATTGTAGCTTCAGAAAAAGGATGTTCAACAGATAGTATTTCTAAGGCATTAAAAAAGCTCAGTACAACCAATTCAAATTAGATATTGTGCTGTGCCCTATCTAAAGACTCCCTAAGGAATTACAGATTTTATACTTGTGCACTGAGAGTGCATTTTCTAATTCAGACAAGTAACTAGTTATGTCAAACCAAACCTGAAGAAAGTTTTATATCTCCCTTTCTGAGAGAATCTCCCCCACCCCCCACAATACCAACACTTTTATTTAGGTTAACAATAACCATAACTTGAAGTGTCCAAACAACCTGATTAACTCAATGCTCTAAAATAAGTGGAAGAAATACCCTTTTCCTTCACTTTTACAGAAATTGAATTTATCTAAAAGAGTCATTTATTTTAAAGACATAGCCTAATTCTGACTACTTATAGTCAATGTAACTGTCTTGAGTCAAAAGACAATAAAAATGTAAGATAAACTTCAAAGGTTTTATAAGTATTAATAGCATTCTAAAATCTCTGGACAGAAGACTATTTTGGGGAGGAACAAAGTTTCTCTTCTGTATTGATAGCTTAATCACTTTCCAATCAATTTGATTTAACAGCAGTTTGTGGGATTAATTTTTAATGACTTCTTATAAAGTTGTAATTGCTTCCAAAATCAGAAACCACAAGATGATGTACTCAAACACTACACCGATGTAATGCTGTTATGGAGGTATTTACAGAAAGGTGCAGATAAGAGCTCAGTTGTGAACACAAGTTAACATACAGTGGACTCCAAAATAGTAATTTGTATAGTATGGCAAGAAAAAATATTCTGAATAAGCAGCATAAAAATCTAGCTGTATTTTTAAATCTATTTTTATAAATCATAAAAACAAAGGAAAATAAGGTATTTATTCTAGAAACTCCATATACCTGTGGAAAACGGAACACAAGTAATTTTTATTCAAGATTAACCTTAATCCCAAATAGAGTACAGCTAACAACTTACATATTTAAGATTTTGAAAGTATTGTAGAAATTGACACCATTAGAGGTGACATTAGTTTGTGCTCAGTAAACATTTTGTTAAATAACACAAGTAAATTAACTTAAGATGCAAACAGATAGGTCTCAGGATTTAAAAACCTTGTAATTTCAAAGGCACAGAATTACAGCACATGTATAGGATGGGCTTTAAAAATGGGTATACGTAAACTTTTCCATGGTGTTGGTGTTGTTTTTTTTCCCCCCTTAAAGTGCTTACAGTGTTAAAGAATCTCCATCACCCTGTCTACAGTTTTCAACCAGAAGTCCTCACTGTACCTTAAGCCAAATTGAATATTAGGTATTTTACAGCTTTTTACAAAATGGCTGTAAAATCACATTATGGGCATACACAGCTCTTTGATCTCACTGCACAGAATTCATAACTGTTCAATAATGCTATACCATTACACCACACACCTTAAACTATTTCCATTTTTCCACAATTCCTTCCAAAATCAGCTTCCAAAGCAAAGCAAAGGAACATGAAAAAGTTCCTGGGTGGGGGGGCTGGTGACACAAAAGAACAATTTGGAGACAAACTAATCTACACAATATCCATCTTCTGTTGAGCTTGTTTACCCCTCCTTGCCCTCCATCCCTCCTCAAGGTGGGCGCACTTGAGTCCTGGAAAGAAGGCTCGTCCATCCCCACACACCCTCCCCAGCACCTCTGCTCCTGGTCCTCAGACAGGGGCTCTGTGGAGGTGATGAAAACCATAGGAAAAGAGCAGCTGTCCCTTTAAAATGCCCTGCTCTGTCCCATATCCCACGTGGAACCAACATCAGCAGCACTTTCCCATTAACTTCAATGTGATGCAAGAGGCACCATGCCTTGATATACATAAAACCAGAAAACATCCAGCTTCACACTCTCTGCTGAGGATGAACAGGTGAAAGCAAACGTGTCAGGGAGGGAGAAGCAGAGCAACTCCCCCACCCCTCTCCAAAAGGTGCTCCAGCCTCGCACTCCAGCCTCTCAATCACCTCTCTACCCCTCCTCTGGAGAGCTTAGTTTAAATAAAGGAGGGAGCCACGAACAAAACCTGAAGCAGAAATGCGACGAAAATGCCATCTAAAGCCGGAAAGGTTTATTCTCCCAATCACACATATTAACTCTATTAAGAAAAAATGGCATCACTTTTTTTCCCCCCACCAACTCCCCCCCCCAAAAAAAAACAGCAAAGATCACGAAAAGAGAGTTATAAAATTGCAAATAGAGTGTTTATCTTATCTCAGATCAGCCCCCATTACCAATAAGTTTAGCAGTTTCTGCACTACCACCTCCCCCCCCTCCCTCCCCCTCCTTCTCTTGCATCGGATTTTCACGTTTTCTCATTGTCGGTTGAGTTATAAAAGGCTTTTGCCCTTCGAAAGTTTTAAAAAAATAAATAAATATTAACTCCTTGGTCCCTGCGAAGTCAAAATGGACTTCAGGGGAAAGGCGGTTCGTGCTTTTACCTTTAGCGAGAAAAGGGGGAGCATCCCGGACTTTTAGGGATTTTTTGCGATTTTTTAAAAATTTTTATTTGGTTATATGCCTGAGTTCTCCCTCCATTTTGGTTGTTTATGATACTGACAACAAGCTGTCCCTGCTCTGTGCAGATCTCCTGCTTTCATTTAGCACCCCCTCCCCCTACCCCCCCTCGCAGCCACCCAGCCGGGGCTCACACCTCCCCGAAGACCCCGCGGCCGGACCCCGGCTCGCCCACCTGAGGAAAGGGCAAAAACAAATTCATTTCGCCAAAAAAGAAAAACCTCTTTTGAAAAAAAGGGGCAAAGTTACCCCAAGTCACTCAAAGTGCCCCCCAAATATTGCCGACCGCGGGTTTCCGCCAGGCCCTTTGGGAAGCGACCTTCCCCCGGGATGTTTTGGTGGAAAATGCGGAGAGTTTACTCTTAAAACTGAATTTATATTAATTTTTCCCTTATTTTTCGGGTCTCTAATGTCTTCCGCTCTCGCTGCTGCCGCTGCCGCTGTCACAATATTCACAGCACCAGAGAGGAGGAGGAGGAGGAGGAGGAAAACTTTTCAAACTTTCCAGACCCTGAATAAAGGTTTTTTTTTTCTTTTTTTTTTTTTTCCCACCGACCTCACCTTTGGGTCTCCAGCCGCATTGCCCCCTGCCCTGTCAGAAGCCACTTCGGGAGACCTCACACCCTCCATTAATTATTTTATTTTATTTTTTATTATTATTTTTCTCTCTGGGGTCCTGAGCAGGGGCTGAGAGTAGCACAAACTTTTCCTCCTCCGGCCGCCGCCGCTGTTCCTCTGCCCCCTCGGCTAGTCCCATAATTTAAATAACCCTGATATTTCTCCCGCTAAACGCCTCTCCGCCGCCCCGGACCCCGGGAGAACTCACCGCGGGGCTTTAACATCCTCCCTCCGGCCCGTCCGCCGCCTTTACACCGCCCGCGGAATTTCTAATAATTTTTTTCTCATATTTCGGGCTGGACGCGGCGGGCCTGGAAATTGTTTCCTTACGCCTCTTTCCAGCAGCCATTGTAGTGTATGCGCTGCCCCTGCAGCCCAACTTGCAGCTGCCGCCGCCGCCGCCGCCGCCGCCGACGTCGCGCCCACCGCCGCCTCCTCCGGCCTGCTCGGCCCCCGCCCCCGCCTCTCGCCGCCCCGCCTATGGTCCCCGCCCGCCGCTGCGCCCGCTCCTCCCCGAGTGCGCTCCGCCCACTAGACGCCGCGTCGCCAGAACGGGCCCGTCTATTGGCGGGTGGAGCAGCCGATCAAGCAGTAGTGTTAAGAGGCGAGCTGCAGACAGGTGGCTCTTAGGGTAGGTGAGGGCGGGGGGTGCTCGAGGCTCTGTCAGTCCTCCCTCTCTGTCGTCATCTCGACAGCTGAGG